TTTTTTAAAATACAACACTCATTTCTCTCACTGCAAAGCAGATTCTAACAATCGTCATTAATTATTCAGAGATCGTGAGATGCGGTCTGGTGTGATGTAGGTATCAGAAAAACATTTTCTTTATCGTGGCAACGTTTCGATCTTTATTGTCCTCTCAACACGACACGCAAGAATGGCACAATTCCACTTTGAGCCCTGAAGATGATCTCAATAAAGATCGAAACGTTGGCACGATAAAGAAACTGTTTTCTGATACCTACATCACACCAAACCGCATCTCACGATCTCTGACTAATTATCAATTAACGAGAGAGAACAAGAGATCACGAGAGAGAACATGATAGAGAAAGAGAGAGAGAGAGAGAGAGAGAGAGAGAGAGAGAGAGAAAGAGAGAGAGAGAGAGAGAGAGAGAGAATGAAAGAGAGAAAGAGGGAGATGAAGAAAAAGGTAAAGAGAGGTTGAGAAAATGAGAGAACGAAGGAAAGAGAGAAAGAGAGAGCGATAGAGAAAGAGAGAGCGATAGAGAAAGAGAGAGAAAGAGGGAAAAGAGAGAGAATAAAGGAAAGAAATAGAGAGAGACAGAAAGAAAGAGAGAGAGAGACAGAGGAAAGAAAAAATAAAGTATAAGAAAGAGAGAGAACGAGAAAGCACGAGGGAGAGAATGAAAGAGAGAAAAAGAGAGATGAAAAGAAAGGTAGCGAGAGGTTGAGAAAAAGAGAGAACGAAGAAAAGAAAGAGAGAGAGAGAGACTGAGACAAAAAGGGGGAAAAGAGAGAGAACGAAGGAAAAAGAGTGAGAGGGAAAATGATAAAGAGAAAATCCGAGACCATGAGAACGATTGAGAGGATAAGAGGGGTGAGAAAGAGAGAATGAAAGACGGACAGAGAATGAGAGAAATGAGAGAAAGAGAGACAGAATAAGAGAGAGAGAGAGAGAGAGAGTGAGAAGGGGCAAATGAAAAAGAGAGTGAGAGAAAAAATGATAAAGAGAAAATCCGAGACTGTGAGAAAAATTGAGGGGATTTGAGGGGTGAGAAAGAGAGAATGAAAGACTGACAGAGAATGAGAGAAAGAGAGCAGAGTAAGAGAGTCATAAAAAAAGAGATAGAGCGAAAAATGATGAGCGAATGCAAGACAGAACGGGTGAGAGAAAGGGAACAGCAAAGATAGATGAATAACAGAATAAAAGAGTGAGAGAGAACGGTCAGAAAATACATTTTTCAATTCTTCATTAAAAAATTTGTTTTAAGAAACAAAAGATGAAGTTAGGACTTTAAGACGGCCATCACCCACAAACACAGTACTTTGACACACTCTTCTAAGTTCACACATTAGCTTTTTTGTTAAGCAACGACCAACGGCATCTAGTAACAATTTTCCGGCAAAAGGCAGACATCCTCCCGGTTGCCAAGAGGGTGTAAAAACAACGGGCCATTAAAAGGTCGAATGTTGTGAACGGATTTCTTGCAGAAAATGCTCCAATATAATATCAAAGGTTGCACATTGTTTGGCTCCATGGCCGGATTTTCTGAAAAATTTCACCCCACGTTTACACGGTTCAACAGACGTCAGGAATTCGCCAACGCGATCGTTTCCACATTCGAGAGAAATTCTCGCTCGGTTAAAGAATGCAATTGTGAAGAAGGCACAAGAAGTATTTTTTCCAACACAAACTCGACCTCGCAGTTATGTATATATAATGTATATATTACATATATATTACAGTAAAAAGGTATTATATCGGGGACGAAGATCCTTTAAAACTGCTATACAAATTCTTTAGGAAAACATCTTTTTAAAAAGATGTTAGAAGAAAATTTTTCGTGTTATTTAAAAATGCGCACTGTTTAAAGAAAGGCCATAACGTATTCAATAAACAAAATCCAATTTGGCCAAAATATTACCATCCATAACAATGATAGACCAGAAAAGGTTTAATAAGCATACGATCGGATTTGATAAAATGTAACCAATTTGCACAACCTCAGTCAGTTTGTCAAGAAAAAGTTCATAATTGTATTATTCCTGACTGTAGAATGGAGAAAAAACAGAGGCAGATAAAAGAAGGATAGATGAATGGTCAGACAGTCAGTTTGATTTTTCAGCCTTGTATATATATATGATGAAATAAAAGAGGAAAAAAGAAAAACAGGAAGCATGGCTGCTTCAAAATATATGCAATTTTGAAAAGACAACTTGGTTGTAACTGTTTTAACATTTTACGACGAACATTTTAGGACGAAAAAATGTTAATACAGTTACAACCAAGTTGTATTTTCAAAATTGCATACATTTTGAAGCAGCCATGCTTCCTGTTTTTCTTTTTTTCTCTTTTATTTCATCGCCAACCCTCTGTCCTTAGCTTTTTGTTTTTCTTGCGTATTAAAAATACTAATTTTTTTTACGAAAAGAAAATCTCCATCTAAGTTATGATTTGTTTTATTATGTAACAGTAACGAACCCTCTCTTTTCTTTATCATTTTGCTAGCCTCTCTGTATTTCATGCCCACGTCAATTATGAATAAAATAACACAAATACACATAAACAAAATGAAAACATGCCTGTTAGCATGTTCACACAACCCCAGAGTATTCGATGTTTCTCGGGGCAATTGGGGGATAAGCCCCTCCATTCACGCAAATAAATACGTCCAATGAATAACACATGGATGGAACAAACATCAATATACAATTCAAAATATTTAAGACTTCAAGACATTCGATCCTGTGCCTACTGCTGTGCCTCAAGGCTGTGTATAGGTCACTCGGGGTGTTGTATTTATTTCCTGGCAGACTTAGTTCATTGCAGTCTGTTGCTCTATCGTGATAATCTCTCCACAGAACAGACACCTAAGAAGGTATCCGTGTGATCTTGGTATGACCTATTCACAACTTGTATGTCCTTTTCCCTTCTAAACCCAGTCTCCACAGACCAGGGACTGATGTCGTTTTTACATTTATATAATTTAGATGTGTTTCTTTCGTTCCAGCGGATTCTTCATACATTTTTATAGCATTAACAGACATTCTTTGTCAATCTGCTTGGCGTACTCAATGGGTGGCGTCATGTGGTCTCACCATGGCAAACTTCTCTGCCTTATTTACTTGTAACTGTTGTTAACATAAAAAAGTAACCTACAAAGTATTTAAAAAGGAACAACTTTTAGAATAGAAACAATTAAAAAGAACAATGTTGATTATTGACTCTATTCAAAATTCACTAGTTTTGGTGGTCCGCTTGACCAATTAATATCTTTCAATTAGTTCAACAGGTGGGGTTGAGATGGTAAGTTGGTGTACGAGTGAATAGAGGTCACGATAGCTCAAGTGGTAGAGCAGCGGCGTATCTAGCTGAAGGTCGTGGGTTCGAATCCCGCACGTGACTTTGACTTTTTTATCTCAACTAAAAACCTTAATCTATTCAAAATGTTTAACGCAAAAACAAATTTAAATGACAGAATAATTATGAAATATTTATAATCTTTTTTGTTGAAATATTGTTTATATTATATGATTACAGAAAAATATTATTAGTCAAAGTAGAAAACTTATTAAGAATTCAAACAATTGTTGACAAAAACAAGATAAACATGAAGAATAATTGCACAATCGTTTAATTCCACTCATTGTGCATTTCCAAAATTTTGGAAAGGTTTTGAGGTATCATTATTTATTAAATATATTAATTTTTAAATTTATTTTCTTATATACAGGGTATATCAATTTCTACAGTCCTCCCATTTAATTCGGAATTAACTTTAGCAAGAAATGATCTTAACAGATTTAACATGACTTTCTCATCTAGCAGGAAAATATCAATAACTTTGTTATTTTAAATGAGAACCGCATATTTTTATTGTACAATTCGATTCTACAGCTTATTTTGTGCTACTTTTACTGAAAGGAAAATTTTGATAGAATCGATCATTTCTGAGAAATATCCGATGGAAGACGCGTTAGGGGTTATACTTTTTGTGACAAGATGGCTCCCGTTTATTTCGAAAAAGATTAGCATTAGGAAGTTAATTTATGGTAGGAATCGTCTCAGAATAAGGTCGGGATCATGGGGTTGCTTTTAGGCTTAACTTATATTACTTTAAAAAAAAGAACTCTTTTTACAAAAAAGGATTTTTTGATCATCATCGAGTCCATTTTATTTTTAAAATGTCTCTTAGTTGTTATTACGTATTGTTTGCAGATTTTAGCATTTATTAAAATTTATGTTTATAATAAATGTTTAAGTACGCTCCCTGCCCAAAAAGGCTCGGTATAAAACCCCTGCATTTTAAATCTAAAACGTGGAGGGCCATCTTGTTACAAAAAACACCCCCCACGCGTTTTTCGTCGGGCATAACTCAGAAATGGTAGATCCTATCAAAATTTTCATTTTAGTAAAACAGACATAAAACAAGTTGTAAAATCGAATTGTATAATAAAAAAAATATGAGAATCTCATTTAAAATAATAACAAGTTAGTCATTTCGCAGCTAGATAAAAAAAAATATGTTAAAATCTATTACCACCAAAATTAACTTGAGGTTTGTATAAGACCATTTTTTGTTTAAGTTAATCTTTTCTGAATTAAATGGGTTGAATATAGAAGTTGACAGACCATGTTTATCCATGCCTGCATATGAGGTGGTTTTGCTTTTATGTATTTTTTGTATATAATTTATTTATTCATATGATAATTATGACTATGCTTCTAAGCTGTTACTTATTGCTGGTAATTCTCGTTTGTATTTTTTAATAGCCATCATTGCAATTTTGGTCCTGTGAGTTTTAATTGTTTGCTATCAGCAGACGGATTTTCTATCTATTCTGCCATGCTTTTGACAATTTGTTTTTAATTATGTACACATTTATCAATAAAATTATGTCTATTTAGTTTTTGCTATTGGTTTTCTTTTTGTGCTGAATTGTTTGTTGTAGGCTAAAGTAGTTTATCACAATTTCCCTTTTTTTCTCTTAATATTGCTAAAATGCTTGCAAAAAATTACCTTGCGGCTGTTCTGTGATGTCCTTTCGAAGGTAGCTAAGCTCGATGTTTGGAGCTGTCACTTCAACGCTGTTGTACAGCTCGACAAAATCAAGGATGCTGTCCTCCTGTAACGTAAGTTTTTATAAACTTAGACTGTCAAAAATGTCGATTAAAGCAAAAATATTCTTTATAACATAACAATGTATAATTACCAAATCGCTTACGGTTTTTGATAGAAATTAATTTTAATTGATATTAATTAATTCATATTGATATATATAGAGAAAAGAGTATGATTGTGAGAGACAGATAGATAGATAGAGAGAGAGAGAGAGAGAGAGAGAGAGAGAGAGAGAGAGAGAGAGAGAGAGAGAGTGATGAAGAGAAAGGTAAAGAGAGGTTGAGAAAATGAGAGAATGAAAGAAACAGGGAAAGAGACAGAGATAGAGACAAAGAGGGGAAAGAAAAAGAACAAAGGAAAGAGAGAGAGAGAGAGAGAGAGAGAGAGAGTGATGAAGAGAAAGGTAAAGAGAGGTTGAGAAAATGAGAGAACGAAAGAAACAGGGAAAGAGACAGAGATAGAGACAAAGAGGGGAAAGAAAAAGAACAAAGGAAAGAGAGAGAGAGAGAGAGAGAGAGAGCGAGTGAGAGAGTGAGGGAGAGAGAGATAGAGAGATTATATAGCTTTTTTTTATTAATTTTGAAAAAGCAATTTTGGTAAGTAAAAAGATTTTTGACCAAAAAATATAACCAAAGCGACAATTTTTTAACTTTGTTGTCACTTTAACTGTCTTCCATGTTTAGGATTTATCAACAGAAATATAAGGAAAAAGACATCATTAACCTCATTAAGAAAAGTTTCGTCGTAGATAACATTGAGTCTGTTACAAAAGCCAAAGTTAAAAACTAAAGCACAAAATCAAAATTGATAAAGTCTAAACAAATAAATGAAAAATTGCCCTCTGATGGTTTTCATCCCAGAGAAGGTGCGGCTTTGTTTCTCCTGCCTCTCCCGATCTCCACGAGCTGGGTGGCATTGTTGTAAACTTACATGGATCAAGGCAGAACATGGCCTACATGATTGAATGCCTTATATATATTTAAAGAAAAAGACTAAACAAAATGGCGCAAAACATTCCATACATTCCAATAAAAATGAGTGGTATTAAAATAGATTAAATGAAATTGATCTGTATACATGTTATACAATATTATTATTATTATTAACTCTTTTTCATTTTCCAAAATACTAATTTTGAAGATACAAATCTTCAAGCATTTCAGAAGCTGGGAAAAGCCCTTATATCATATTTTTTATTTATTTAGATGTAGAAAATTATTTTATATTATATAAAAGAAAACATACCTGGAAATCTCGACTGTTCCTCGTATTGTTTACATTCTCACTGCAGTCATACTAAAAAAGAAAAAAGAAACAATATTAAATGTTATATGTAAATAGCTTCATTAAGGGTATAGTTACATAATGACTACTTAAACTTTATAATAATAAACACATTTTAATAAAAAATCTTAAATAATGCTAACATAAGATGATTGAAAAAAATTGATTGGCAGAGTCAATGATTAGTTTTACTCTATTCATGCTGATTCAGCATAGGGACATTTATTAGATTCACCTTCACTTGGAGGTTTGTAGAAGTACTTAAATGTATTTCAGCATCAGAGGAACTGTACATACCTTTTAAGTAACCTAACCTGACTGGCTGTGTTAGAGTTGATGCTGGCATTGGTCTGAGAGTCGATCGAGAAACTCATGCTGAACCAGCATAGGCCACTTATTGGGTCCTTTTTCATTCACAGGTTTGTTGAAGTACTTAAATGTGTTTCCGCAGTGCACCATCTTCAGAGAAGAACAGTTTGCTATGCCGAAACGAGTGTCAAGTAGTTCAACAGCCCCCAATTGAAGATGGACCAGATGCCGGTTCAGCATGAGTTCACTTACTCCACAGACCAGCCACATACCATCACCTTTTACTCTATTACTAATAAATTATTTTATTGGTTAATGTTTTTTCCTCTTGCCAATAGCTGCCAAGGTTATTGTCTGCACCTTGTGTTTTTCTACCTCGTCTCTTGATTGACAAAATTTGGCTCTCCAGTATGAGGCCTGGCAGTTTTACAGTTTTGTAACTTCTGGGACTTTATTATCATTTTTGAATAATCTTTTCACATATTGGGAAAAGGCTTTGCAACTTATGTATACACATGAATTATGGCCTAACCTACTGGGTTTTCAGGGTACCGGATTTTCGTCTGAAGACCCACTATCATTCATGCTAATAAATAGAAATTATGAATGATGGAGTGAGTGTGGAGTTCACTCCTTTTTAAAAAAGATGGTTCCTACTCACATTAAGATGTTTTGCAACAATCCGGATTTCGAGCCCTTTAGCTCATCGTCAGGTTGAAGGGTTTCTACAAACACACCTCTCAACATGAATTACAAAAGAAAAGAGACTTTTGCAATTCATGTTGAGAGACGCATTTGTAGAAACCTTCCAACCTGACGATGAGCTAAAAGGCTCGAAATCCGGATTGTTACAAAACAACTTAATTTGAGTAGGAACCATCTTTTTATAAAAGGATTGCTATTAAATACGTTCACTCTAATAAATACATTCACACTGATTAGAAACTTCTATTCTTTATGTACAATTAAAAATCCAGGAGGCACTGGGGTTATATGCATCTAACCTAGTTTGGTGGTTGGTAAAAAGTAATAATTTCACTAATAATTTCAATCTTAAAAAAAAGATCAAAAAATCTACCAGAAAATATTTTTTACAGGTTGTTTTCAAGTTGAACGTGCATACCTGAGGACAGTTGCCAGAGCATATCATGAGCATGCAGGTGAAGTGGACGAGCTGAGTGTCTGGAAATGAAAATGCAGGGAATGCGGTCTCCCAATGGCCCTGTTCGACCATCTTGAGCGCTGGCACCAACCCAGCATCTGTTGTGCAGCCTCGGTCATCAGTCAGACTCTGAGAGCCTCCACGTCCATCCTTTACCTTACAGTCGACTGGTTTTCCAACAACGCCATCTAAATAACACACATATAAAGCATTTTAAATGTCTATTTGTGTAAGGTGTAACGAGCCGGCTGGTAACAGCTTCTTGTGACCCCACAGAGTTCTGTCCTGGGACCTACGCTATTTCTAATTTTAATCAATGGTTTGCTAAAGAGCCCAGGACAGAATTGGCTCTTTTTATTAATAATGCTGCACTCATCACATCATCGTGGAGGATGAGCACCATAGCTGAGTTTGGTAGCAGAGAGATTGATAGGTTCCTTACAAACTGGAAAATCAGGGCTAGCCCGAACAAGTCTGTGACCATTCTTTGCACAAAAAGGATCCCTGTCACGGGCCTTGTGCATGTATTCAGAAGGGAACAAATGGACTGTACTCCTGGAATTAAGAGCCTCGGGGTCTAGTTTGATTACATTAAACTTTACAATCCATATTAACAAAGTTGTTTTAAAAGGCAAAAAATATATAAAAATTATGTTTCATTATTAAATCACAATTAGAAATTGAGTGTTAAAAAAGTTCTCATGTACAAAATCATACTTAGGCGGATACTGGGAAGTCTGGGTTTTATGTCCCCCAAGCATTGCAGCCTTCTGGCTTTTTGTACTTTTTCTAGTTTCTTAGTTCCGTACAATCGACATCCTTCTCTTAAGAATGAGTAGGTCATTAGTTGTTGTTGCTACAATTCATTTACCTGGGTTTGCTTTGTTTCCCAGTTTATGTCTCCACTGAACAGATGCTTCACATTCCAATATTATATGGATGGCTATTTCTTCTTCCTCGTTGCATAACCTACAAACTCTCTTACCTTTCTCCACCCGCAAACTCCTTGTATCTTCCCTTATACTTCCCTTCTTCGATTATAGCTGTTTGGCATACGGTGGTCTCTCGGAGGGGGAGAACGAGCGATTGAAGCGTATTATGAATTGTTGCATAAGATCTGTTTATGGCACTCCATGGGGATCCCGGGTGTCGGGGTTGTATTTCCAACTTTCCTGGCTATTCCCCTCCTTCCGTGCACAGTATTTCCTAGGTTGCTTTCTTTTCCAGTCCATCCACACTCGTCGTCCTCCTTACATCATCCAATCCCTCCAATTCAACTCCTCACATCTCACTCGTAAGACCTGCTCATCCCCAATCAACCTTATCCTTCCGCAACATACAACCCATACCTTCGAAAGATCCTTTCTGATCCGAGCCCCTAAACTCTGGAACTAACTTCCCTTTTTATTCGTCATGCTGCTTCCTTTTCCTCCTTTAAATCCCACCTGTATAATCACCTCCTCTCCCTCCAAGCAGAGACCTCACGTTAACATTTGTTATTTTTGTTTAATATTCTCGTAATTTTTTCTTCTGTCATGCCTTATTGGTATACATTTTGCCAAGATTTCTATCTTTTTTTTTTACTTTTAACTTCATAGAAGGAACTTCCTTTATTTATTTCATGTAAATTATTCTTAGGGGACACCAGTCCCAGAATAAAGTTATTTTTCTTCTTCTTCTTCTACAAATGGGGTCGTTGAATATACCCATGCAGATGTTTTCCCAGATGCCTGTGAATGTATATTGACTATCACTCCTCTAAGTTTAGCCTTTAACTGTAACAGTTTTATCTTTTTTAGATCCTTCTGTGATGGAGGATTCTATGTTTGTTTTTGTTATCCCAAGAATAGGTTAAGGGCTTATGTATGGTTTGGCAGATTTTCCTCTGGCCACCATGTCTGCCTTTTCATTACGCAAAATTCCTTTGTGACCTGGAACCCACATATCATCAAGTTATTTTGTGTCCCCAGTTTTTGAGGATTTTAGACACGTTCACTGACTAGTTTTGATTTGAATTTTTACATGCTACTACTTTACTATCATCTTTGGCAATCTGATAATAGATGATTTTTTTTGTCAGTGCAACTTCTTTTAAGATTTTCTAAAGCACAAGCGTTGATGGCAAGTTTTTCAGCTTGAAAGAACGAGGTGTCCTTTCCTAATCAGTTTGCTCATATTTGGCGCTTGTGCAGAAAATGCCTGATCTCCGGTGATATTTTTACATGATATCATTGTATCTGATTTCCTCTTGAATGATTTTTTTTTCTCCTTTGTAGTCTGTCCAGACTTCATAGGTTGTGTAAAGTCTGTTTCCAAGATCATGTAGTCATTGCCTCTTTTTAAGAACGGGTGTCTGATTTTATTAAATATTATTGTTGTTCCCAAAGTGTTTAGTGTTATATATTATTGTCTTCCTATCAAATTTAATTGTTTCTGGAGCCTAAATTTCCTCGCTATAAACTTTCCAATGCTTAGCAGTGTTTCTAGTGCAATTAAGAGAGTTGTTTTCATTGCCCTGTGATAGGTTGGCCAGTTTTTTTTATGCTGCCTAATGATAGATAGACAACAAACTATTTAAAACACAAAAAGAACATTACATATTGAACATTTATAAAGTTTTATATGGCATGGATGGTTATACTTCTGTAAGTAGTTGGCTATGTATATAATTATTTCAGATATGTGAAAGGGCAATAAATTATATAAAGAAAACTAAATTCAAATAAAGCAATTACAACTCGTTATTGAACTCATACCTATATTGCATGACATGCATAGAGTGCAAGATCTTGCGATTTTTCAACATATCTAATGATTAAGAGATCAATCAGAGACCTGGAAAACGCTCTATGTCCTACATATAGGATTCGGAACTCTCACAATATAGGACTTAGTCTTCCCACTGGGGTCGCAATGTCTTATAACATCGAGGTTCTTTAGCATGCGCCCCTAGCCTTCCGGCCTTATCACTCGTTTAGGTTCTCAAGTTAGGAGCGACTCACCTCCGCGCGCGTAAAATCGATAGACAGACTACTCGATAGACATGCTGACTTCTCCCGCTTCCGAGGGGGTGGGTTAACTTTGTGCAGTTAACCAGTGCCGCAAGTAATGGGAACCGATGATAGGGGCCGAAATGCATCAGCCAAGTATCCCAACACACTTCCTAGATAGAGAAGACAACTCTATTTCCCTGGGTATAGGGGCTCCGCTAGCGTCGAAACCTCCGGATCCTAGACTCTAGAGGAGTACCATGGTAAAGGCAACCCAAGGGTCAGCCACCGACAAGCACCTGTACCTGTCCACCGTTCCTCATGCATTCACAGAACACCGACAGCGTAGTCATAGCTCCTCGTTGGCTATATACTCTCAACAATCTGATCCGTCCAATTCCAATGAGGTTGGGAGGTAACTCAGAGGTCATGTGCAAGTACTACAGTCCACAGGCACAAGTGAGACACAGCCTCTTCTCTAGGTACCCGCCAGGGGTCTCACCACTAAGCCACTGTGAGTCCTTACCCACGCAGCTAGGCTTGAACTTTGGAACAAAAAAACTCTGCCCCTCAGTACAGATGGTTAAGCACCCTCCCCTGTCCGCATATATATTTGAAATACATATTTAGACAGGATTTTGGTATCCTAACCTCTGCTCCGGCACTCGCCATTCGCGGCCAGCTCTCAAGCCAGCAATTCCCTTAACGCATCTCGAGGGACTAGGTTGGTGTAGTCTCAGTGTCCTCGCACACTATATAAACTTCCTTGGTCCTGTCATCCAAATGCAAGCAGAGGCTTAAGGTGGCCATGTGCGCTTGTGCTTTAGAGAGTTCGTCATGCTCTCAAAGCTACACCTTTATGTCACAATATGGGACATTGGGCAACCAAATGAAACATATACTCCTTTACCCTTAGGGTAGCTCCAGGCAAGTGGGATTCGCTGAATGCTGAGCAAAGGTTTGCCGAATCCTGATTAGTGAGGTTGGGTGCTTGGTTATTCTCCAAGCAACCAGATTTGGTGCTCACCTTGCTTGGCTAATTGTCAGTTTCCTTGCACTTCAAAGTGCACAAATATTCATGAAGTAGCCAAACTTAAAGTATTCACAATTCCGGAATCAACTGTACTGTATGAATATGAACAGTAATCATCAATCAAAACTACTATTTATTTTTCAATAATAAATGATTCTTAACTAGTACAGATGTATGAATGAAAGAACATCATAGCGTTGTTTCTGTTGGTTAGGAATGAATTGGTCCAACATTACAATTTTGGATTTCCTTGATCTTTACCAAGCTGAACTAATAATTTGGAATGCTTCTCTTCCTAATCACAAAAATTGGAATGAGGTTCTTGGTTCGTGGAAACAGATCAAAAGTAAGATGGGGCAACAGTAACCTGTGACTAAATTCGTAGCCACTGCACAAAACAGTTACCACAGCTGCAGCAATGACAGTTTCACAGTTGTCCATCACTATTGTTAGTATGTTGAAGACTTGCATGGCACTTGGCAAATGTATTTGCTGTTTCCACACAAACTGGCTGGTTGTAAGAACCCCACATGCATGTACACATAGGCATGCTGTTTGGCGAATGCCAAGATGATCATCTCAAGACTCAAGTCGGCATTAGGCGAATACCACATGTCTGGAGTCACATATAGGTTACAGAGTGTACACATGTAATTTCCATTGTCTTACTTCCATGGCACAGAATTTAGAAACACTTGCTCGCACCTAAGTTTACGTAGCCATCGTAGAGAAGGGAGTTACAGAGAACTATCCTCTTGAACATTTAGGTTAAATGTTGTCTTACAGTGGTCTAGCTCCTTAAAAAGGAGGTACTTGTTTATCCAATTTAATTGTTTCTAGAGCCTAAATGAGCTTTTCCTCACTATAAAATTTATAATGGAGGTATGTTTACCAATGTTGCTGCTGCTTTTTTCACCAAGATTAGTAAACATAAGATAATTAGGTTCTGTTATAGCCATTTTTGTCCCTTAGATTTGCCTAGACTTCTTTCTCTGATTAAAGGTACTGTGATTTTTATTATGATGTGCTGCAGATGATGATTCCCGGTTGATTCCTTATCAAAGACTGTATTTAACCCTAGATATTTAACCTCACTTTTTAACTACAGCATTTCATTATAGGAGCATAGGCCTTGATTTTCTTTGTTTCTTTGCTTGGTAAGTTGCTGTTGAGGGGCTTGGTATAAGTCCCTATTGCGAGTACCATTGCTCTTCCATATTTACTGCTCTTTGGGTGAGCTCTTTTATCTGCATAGATTTTGGTACAGAATCTTGCATTTAGTTTGCTTATGAGGTACCCGCAACGACATTCTAAAGCAGAGGGAGAGTCTCTTCTTGCGGAATCCTACAATTCTTATGGATATCCTCTACTGCCAATTCTTCTACTTCTTCCTGGTACATTCAGTGTTGTTTTGATCATATTTCAGTTGACAAAACAGGTTTAGTTTATTTTTCATTCTACTTATTAATCAATAATAAATACCTTGTAAAGAAGTGTATACAGAGAGAGTAGTGTGCTCGCCAACGCTGAGTGAGTTTGATGGGCTGAATGTCGATATAGCCGAGCCTCTTACTTCAAGCCATGCTCGACCGGAGGCATACTTGCCTGCGTTGCCCATCATTCTGCCAGTCCTGAAATATTTTGGTGTACATTGCAGTTTTGATAATTGAAATATTTGGACGTTACCTTTGGTTTTTGGTATGTATTGCCAGCAAACTGGTTCCAAGTGAGCACTTGACTAAAATTGTCGGGTCGGTTGCCTGTTGGACTGTCTCTGACATTTGGACTTGGAGAGAACCGCTGTACCATAACATCCCATTTTCCTAATTTAATTATCAGATAAATATTTATTATTACTTTTAACGGTCTGAATTTTTTATTTGAAATTAATATTTTACTCATTAACAATAATAATATTCACAGTATAAACAATTTTAAAGTGCATATAAATATATCACCTTGTATATTCTCATTGAACAGATTTTTGGATCCAATGAAAAAGAGACAGTTTTGTCGCCAGAGGCTTTTTTATTGAGACAATCTGTGCCTTTGGAATTGATCACCCCAGAGAAGCTGTTTTCAAAACGCATCGTCACGTTGACGACCTCTTCTGAACATGCGCTTTCGACATCTGAAGAAGACATTTTGCACATTAGTCGATTAATGAACAGAAAAGAATTTTTTAGTATTTTTACCGATAATTTTGTTCTTTAGAGCAGTTACATTGAGAAAGCAAATCAGGAGTATTTCTCCAAACCAGAGTAATCTTACAGTCATCTATAAAAATAAACAATTTGTTTCTGTTAATAAATAATGTTTTAAAATAGTTGTTCAAAAAATAAAACAAACAATTAAAATGTAAATATGGAAATGAACTTACATAAAAAACTCTATATGGTATAATCATAATACAGAAAAATAAGAAGATAATAATAAAATAATAATAGAAAAAGAACCAACAAAATGTAAACCATACATAGGTGCCACAACAAAATACTGAGGAACATGGATGCTCCTTTGTATCCATGATTGTACCTCCGTCCAGGATACCAATGTGGATAATGCAGATAGAGGCAAAAATGATGCCCTTGTCAAAAAAGGAAAAAACTTCAAACAGGGCACTGTGAACTTAATGGAGAGGAAACACTACAGTTTAACAAATTGTAGTGTTACACTTGCTCGAAAGTGATCTCCTTGATGAAGCAGTGTTAGAAGACCCAAAACATACCAAACCATCAAGTCAGAGAAAAGTGTCAAAACATTATAAGCAGTATATATTAATTTTATTGTGCCTGGTTTTTATAAAGCTAAGAATTTCTTTTGACAAAAATTTGAGTATTAAGCGTTTTAAAATAGTTAGATAAAAGTTATTCATTGAACTTTTCTACATGTTGACGAAGGAAAATTAATCGTTAGATGATTGACTACAACTAAATAAAAAGTAGGAAGCCCACTTTTATAGTTATTGAGTCTCCTGTTTTATACCTATAGCACTCTAGAATTCATCAAGCAATTTGACTGCTAAGCTCACAAGAGGATGACCTTGGCGTGTCATGGATTTAGATCAAACTTTTTTTTGGTGATTCTACTCTCCAAAATCAGGCCACTGCTTGTGAATAGGCCCTGGTATAGCCGTTTATTTTTTTAAAAATTGAAATTTTTCGTTTTTTAATATTTCTATTTCACCATTGTACTTGCTGAAATGAGCTATGTGAATATATAATTTTACAGTATTTTTTTTATGTATGCAATAGAAATATAGTAAAAGCTATCAAAGTTTGCCAATAAACAAAACATTTCTAAAAACCAAATATTTTCAAGTAATCTAGCAATGCAATTTTTTTTTCGTGAAATTAATATGAAATTTCGGTTTAGCATCTCTAGAGAGCCGTACATATAGATTTTTGTTTGAATTTAAATTTATCGATTTTTCGACCCTAAATTTTTTCCAATTTTTAAGAAGTCGTTATCAGAATATCTGAGTGAAACGGCTAAAATTCAAATACTGCTAAAAGGTGTCCTTGTATTAGTCGGCCGTTGGATAATCAATTGCTAATTTTAAACTTATGTTGAGGTAAGCGGCCCCAGAAGAAAAGTCCAAATGCTTCGTTCAAAACATTTATTGACAACGTTTCGGACGTCTCACGTCCTTCATCAGGTACATAATCTACAATAACAGTGAATCAAATTTATTTTAAAAAATCTAAAAGCCTTAAAAATTGAAGTTAAAAAAATAAATAGCATAGAATCTCAAAAATAACATTGATTATTTAAAATTATTGTATGAAACTGCATTTGAACGAGAGTTGAATGTACCAGTAATTTACCATTGTTTTATTTTATTTTATTTTTTTTGTGTCAGTAACAACCTTTCCGGCGTCCCAGACCAACAGCAATTTATTGTTTTTCGTTTTAGATACCAATTTCTGTTGGTCTGGGACGCCGGAAAGGGTGTTACTGATATAAAAAAAAAAAAACCCAAAAAACAATGGTAAATTACTGGTACATTCAACTACAAAATAAATGTATTGAGAAGCTGATACAATTTTGAACACGTTACCAAAAAAAATGTTTTAGTTCGTCTCAATCAAATTCGTCCTTCTGGATTGTCAAGTCAATATTGAAACGTGAGGTGAATCAATCTTGGTAAATTGGTCAAAGTAAGGCATTTCCGACCCTCATCCGAAATTATGTACAATGGAACGGTGGATGGCAGTACAGAAATCACACCGGAGTCGTGAGGTTAGGGCAACGGTACCCAAGGCCGCAAAGACAAGAACGTTTCTTTCATTAAAATGGATCCATGAGACGTTTCTGCCTCCTTTTACTCTTTCCTTTACGGTCTCGGCCCCGTTATCCTCATATTTTTATCCTTAATTGATCCTCTGGCTTGGCATATTAAAAAAATTGGTTTCAAACTTGCCATCAATCAATATACTAATCATTTACTGTAGTCGATCTTCTTTTAAATATATTTCTTTTTTGTTTACAACTGCCATTAAAAAACGTCCGGTGGTTCCAAATTGAAGCCATTTTTACAATTTTATTTCAATAAATCGATTTTGTATTAGATCACCTTAGAAAAGTAAGCAATCTAGTCAAATAACAATTACGCCTGATAGAAATATTGTACAAGGGAAAGGTAGTTCAGGCTGGAATCAAGAAAAAAAAAAAAACTTTCCATCACGTTTCACGGTGACGATCTGTACGTGACAGCAATAGCTGTAATTAGTAAAGAAGTTATAGTACTTATTAGGTTTTTAGCTATGAGGTAAATAAAACAAATTCAAAATTTATTTTTGTAGCTATAAAACGTAATTCATTCAAAATTCAAGAATACAACCAATTGAGTCAATACCATAAGTTTTGCAGATGACCTGAGAACAATGATAAAATGAAAATTCAATGACACTGTCAAATCAGATGCGTAACTCTCTAAAATATTGTAGGAAGATGTGTGAGGAAATTGGTTTTTACAAAAACTCAAGGAAAGCATATATCATACCGTTTACAAAAAGAAGGATGCTCAATCTAAAAACATCATTATAAAAGAAAAAGCATTAACTTTCTCCAAAGAATCAAGTGCCTAGGTGTAACCCTTGTCCAAAGGCACAAATGGAAAAAACTCTGTGGTGATTAGTGACCGTTAATCGATATTTATTTAGAAATCGTGAGATGCGGTCTGGTGTGATGTAGGTTTCAGAAAAACATTTTCTTTTTCGTGCCAATGTTTCGATCTTTATTGAGATCAACTTCAGGGCCTGGGATTTACAAACATTGTTTACATTTAACAAATACATTTAGGATGTGTTAATAATAATCCATTAGATTTCGTGGTCCGATTGACCAAGTACCATTTTTCAATTAATTAATCTTTATGTAGGGAATTTGTTGAGATAAAAAAGTCAGTGTCACTAGCGGGATTCGAACCCACAACCTTCGGCTAAATACGCCGCTACTCTACCACTTGAGCAATCGTGACTTCGATCCTCTCGGACACCAACTTCCCATCTCAACTCAACGTGAGATGCGGTCTGGTGTGATGTAGGTTTCAGAAAAACATTTTCTTTATCGTGCCAACGTTTCGATCTTTATTGAGATCATCTTCAGGGCCTGGGATTTACANCTGAAAATGGTCTCAATAAAGATCGAAACGTTGGCACGATAAAGAAAATGTTTTTCTGAAACCTACATCACACCAGACCGCATCTCACGATTTCTAAATAAATTTTGCATAAAGCCAATGTTTTACATTGGCATGATATGCAAAAATCAGATGAACAAACCCCAGTTGGGGGTCAACAGTCAGGCTAAATTGCTCATAGTGCTGGTACAAATTCAGTCCATGCCTGGGCAATATGTAGAACCTAGAAAGTAAGGAAAAGAGAGTATGATAATCATACTAAAATGATAAACTATTGAGCATCAACTATTAATATTACTGAAACAGCACAAGCTCATTTTATTAAACTATTGGGAAATAAAGAACATATATGGACCAGAATGACCAGCCAAAAACACTGAACAAGCTACAAAGTCTACAGACTAGCGTGTCTTGAAATAATAACGGGGACAAACTCCCTGAACGGAGGATACCGCACTCGACCTTTTTCGACCTTCCACCCTTAAAAAGTAAAAAAGATGCCTTTTGAGAGGGGACAACAGACTCCTGAGACAAGGGCATAAAGCCAGATCTAAGGCGGAGCCATCACAAAATTTTGCATAAAATTATAATAAATGAGATGAAAAAATGGGGGAAAACTCAACTTTGACAGACCCTTCCATGTGGTCTGGTCAGAGATAAAGAGACCGTCGGAAGAAAGGTAGCCCAAGTTTCAGAAGGGGCGCTAATACGGTACACAGATGGATCGAAGATGGAACGGGAGTAGCTGGAGGGATAAAATTGTGTTTATCACCTATTTGATGCTCGGCGACAAATGAAATGGCCACGGAGAGCCTTGGTGAAGGTAGACTTCATTTAAACTTGTTAAATTCACTAGTGTCCGAGTGATCGAGGTTACGATAGCTAAAGTGGTAGAGCAGCGGCGTATCTAGCCGAAGATCGTGGGTTCGAATCCCGCTCGTGACACTGACTTTTTTTATCTCAACTAAACGACTCTAGAATAGGTGGAATCGGCTGTTCATGGTTTTTTTTGCCTTATGATCTATGCATATTAATCATGGTGACGAATTCTTGTATGTGTGTTCATATTTGGGGAGGGGGGATCGTGAAAAAAGGGCCAGAGGTGACGGTGGGAATCGAACCCACGTTCTGTTGAATGTGAAAGAATTCCTTAGGATTTTATCAGAAAACTTTTCCAAGGAATGCAAAGGCGTTTAACAGAAATGAAACGTTTTCTGAAATTTGTTGATCTCTAGGTTTGGAAATAGTAGTTTAGAATCACTAGAGTAAGTTTTCCAACTTTAAAAAAACAAAAAATTCAAAGTTCTGACTACTAAAACGTTTATTGCACCAACGTTTACATGTTTAGTATTGATCGCATCTAACTGGAATTTATCGTAGTTTTCAATAGTATCAACTGATTGGTCCAAAACCTTTTGCTTATAGAGTTATTGTTTATTTGAAGCAAGGTCGTGAAATTTTATAAAATCAGAAAAAAGGGGAATAACTCCGAAATTCTTGTGATTCGGACCATAGTTAATTAGGACTTTTAGGGGGGTCGTTTTGGGACTACGGACCCCCCCCCCCATTATCTATTGTAGAAAACATGTTTTACTGATTTTACATATTTATTCTGGTGGCCAAAAATGTACAA